ATTATTGAAGGAGATGCATCCAGGTAGTTCAACAAGGGATTAGCAGTTAATTAAGAAGTAGGAAATAATTAAGAATAAAAAAATATATATCTTTGAATTAGTCAGTAAATAGATCTGCTAATTTTTTAATTATTGACCTAAGCAGTCACATTGCAGAGTTATTTACTGCAATTATGTTAAAACTCAAAATTACCCTCTCCCTTTTGACTTTGTGATGCAGACTCTAGTATTACAAAAACATCAATTTAAATTAGGAGGAACTTCCCGAGGTAAGACTTAATTACAAAAATTCCCTTTATGTTTACGTAATTATGAAATGCCCCCGTGAGGTAATTGTAATGGTTAACATTCATAAGAGGTTTCATTGTAAGGTTTCGATATGCATATATATACATTTTGTAGTTCAAATTACTTAAGGTTAAACTAGAAGAAACACAAATTATATTAGAATACAGAGCCAAACTCAAGTCAAAGGGGGTTTCTCGTAATCACGCAAATATGGAGGGAATTTTCGTAATTAGACCTTACCTCAGGGAAGTTCTCGTAATTTGCCCTAAATACTATTTCCATAACATTGACAAAATAAAGCCCAAGGACATAATGTATACAGCACAATCCTGGTAACCTTCTTTCTTCAGATCAAGATCCTTCTTCTGCTTTTATGGATATATATGCAGAAACAATATACGTACAGATCGATAATATATATATATATATATGTGTGTGTGTGTGTGTGTGTGTGTGTGTGTGTGTGTGTGTCAAGTACCATCTTTATTACAGCAGCACAGATGTATAAATACATATACCATTAGAATTCAGACAAAAGCAGAATCTAACACAAATTCTCAGAATCTAATAACGTCTAGAAATTCTTGGCATCGAGCACCTATTTTTTCGATCATGATACAGCCTCAGTACGATGGCAGCCGATTCCTCGATCGCTTTCCCCGACACCTCTGCAAATCATAACAACCAAACATTAATTAAAATAAATAAATATGTAAATACTACTTCTACCGTTCTAAGTACTCACCAATAACTGGCCAGACAGGGTTCCGTTGAAAAATCCTACTAGCGAACTCCAGCTCCCGTTTAACATGATCCATCTCCGAATAATTATTCCGTAATTCATCATCAAACCCTAAGCTCTTCGCCCTAGCCCGGCTAATCGCCTGGAGAACAACGGGGTTTATAGTCAAAGCAAAGACCTTCTCGGGGTCGACCTCAAAAAGCGCCCTCGGCAAATCCACACCCATCACAATCGGCACATTCGCCACTTTATACCCTTTCTGCGCGAGATATATAGACAAGGGTGTTTTCCCCGTACGAGAAACTCCGGCAAGAACAATGTCCGCCTTGTGGAGATTCTCGGGCAACGCCCCATCATCCTGCTTGATAGTGAATTCGATTGCCTCGATTCTTTGGAAGTAGTCTTCGCCGAGGGAGACTTTTCTTCCCGGGGCCCACCTGGGGAGACCGGATGGGGTCACCCCTAGGTGGGCCGCGATGGACTCGGTTATTGGGCCGAGTACGTCGAGTGATGTCACGTTCCAAAGCCTGCATGCTTGTCTTGCGGTTTCCGCGATCGATGGATCGGCGAGCGTATAGACGAGCATTGCTCCTTCTTTGGCCGCTTGTGCTATGATCTCCATCAATCGCTCCACGTCATCAATCTTTCGAAAAAATAGAGATGTAAAATTGCGATTCTTTTATTCGTGTTAACACAAATATGTTTCTACTATAGACGGTGGCGGAGACAGTATACGGCCATTCTATAAAATACATTTTTTTTCCAATTATACCCTTATTAACGCAGCTCGGACATATATCTCACTAATACCAAGTATTTAGAAACCCGGAACGTAGCACTTTA